CCTTGAAAAGGCAGCACCTCGGGCGGCACCAGGGTCCAAACAGGGTACATCTTTTTGACAACCCCGGCAACTTGGGTGCAAGAGTGCATCAAACGAGATGTGCAATGAACTCTGGGCCAGGCTCTCTTGAAATGATCCACAACCGGCCTGGGATCCACAACAATAGGTATGTGAGTCATGCCTGCTACGCCTAGCATGCAAGTGTTGCCTCTTCACCAGGCTCATGGATTTCCGCAATCGTGGCGGCTTCATTCCACGGAATTCGTCATACCTCGAAGAAAGAACGCAATCCGAGTCGCTCGCTTCAACCAGCCCAGCCCCAGAACCTACCCTCCCTTTGGGATGCCTGGAGGGCCCCTGTGCAGGTTCCTAACATTTTGCTTTCTGGAGGGTAACTGACTCCATGCTATCCCACAACACCTCACGGATTATTTAATTTACTAGGGGTTTGTGAATTGTTTGGTTCGGGATTAGAACTGTTTGCCTTGTTGTGGCAAGTGGCCGTGCCTGGGACTGGAATTCAAGAGGCCCATTTGGGTCCAAGATAGTTTTTTGTGTTGCATGTCTTTTTATCCAGGCACCCTCTTTGAGGTTGCTTTAAAGAAAGGCCAAAAGGAAACCCATGGCATTTCTTTGGGGGTACCACCTTAGATGACACCGAACCCTATTTTACATGCACAGAATCTCAGGGTACCTTGGGCCATGAGCTTCACCCCACGATCTAACTTGTTAGGCCGAGGAGAGCTTCTGGCGGGAGGCGGGATAAGCTGCCGGAGTCACCCAGACCCCGTGTGGGTTGCGAGCCCTTTTTATGAAACTCGTTTGCTTCGGGGGTGGGGCCCTTGAACATCAACCTCAAAAAGAAGAGCGGCCTGTTTGCCCCATGGACAATGGGGGTTTGGGTTCTACTACGAACTCAAACACGGGGGGGGAAGGGGAAGGAGATTTCTACCAGGCCCTGTGAGCGCATAATTACCCCACGACCTGACTTGGCTCAGCAAACGGTTCTGACGGGCTTGTGTTTGATCGGTGAACTACCCACTGGATGCGCTTGCTGTGGGCAACTCATGCTCCCAGCTTCTGGACGCGATTCATTGGTTTGCCATGTTCACGTCGATTTGTAATCACCATGGCAGAGTTGTTAAGAGTTAAGACCTATCATACCCGCGTGGTATTTTCTTTTGGGTTTTAGGGGTATTTCCCCCCTTTCTTTCCCGGGTTTCTTTTCAGAAAACCACCCTGCACCTTAGCACAAGGTGTTTTTGCTTCGGAAAGCAACAACGCTTGAACCGACTAAGAGAGCACTTCCTTCTCTACGGGTTTTGAGCTCTTTTTTCAGCCAGTGGTGGCCTATTTTAGGAGGTCACATGCTGTTAAAATCCTGGAGGCGAAAGCTTTTTCACACGTGTTTTCCCCTGGCTTGTCTGCATTCTGTCGTCTTTGGCTCATGCCTGGCAGTGAACGGGATAATTGATTTCTTTTTCTTTTTTGCATAGTTGCAGTTCAATTGCTAGATATCTGAGTCAACAAGCTGCTGCCAACGCATGGCAGAAATCCTTCTCCATGGGAAGCTGATACCTCCAAACGGAGCTATGCATATAGCGGTACATGTTCTTGCAAGATTTGTCTATACATTGAGTCCTCACTATGAAGCAAGCGGGTCGTTTGCGTGCTCCCCTCATCACAGAGACTCTTCTAACAATTCATGTCTGCTGGGATGGACATGGTGCTCTCTAGACGCTTTTTGCTAGCATCTGCAACCAACATTGGCCATGCATCAACCTGTCTGCACTGGCATGTGTGTTCGTGTGCATGCAAGCCTTTTATAACGACGGTAACATGCCTTCCCCCCCCTCCCCCAGCCCTGCTCACAACTGCAACTCGACACATCACAGCCTGAAACAGCAAACAGCAAGAAAAGCACCCAAAGCACCAGTTTTTGTTTTTACCAGCCTGTTTTCATTTTTTTCTTCTGATTTCCATCGACATCCACAAGTTGTTGGCTCCTTTTGCCCAGAATCCCAGGTGAAAGACCGGCAGGCCAAGCACTTCCAGGCAGCCAAAGAGGCGTGCCGGGGGAAAAACGAGCCCAAGGGGGAAGGGGGGGTTTTGAGAGCATCTCCTCGTGGCGTTTTCGTTCTGGAGCGTATCCAGTTTGTGTGTCTTGTTTGATTGAGAGGCCACACACAGGCAAACAGCAAGATCCTCGTTCGAAGGGATGCACCGGATGCACCACAAGTTGCTCCTCGGTGCCAGGCTCAGGCACGCCGTGCTCGTGCCAAGGGCCTCCAAGCCCGCGTCAAGGCGGGTGGGGGGACCGTTGCAGACGTATCCGGAGGGAGGTCTAAGGGTTGATTCCGGCCATTCTCATGCATCTTGCTGGTGCACTAGGTGGGGAATGAGGGAGTGAATGAACCTGGGGATCCCACCAGCAAGTCATTGTTCTTTTTAGACCCCCCCCCCCATTTTTCCAGCCCGCAAAAACAAGGAAGGTACAGCTGGTTCGATAGGTAGAACTGGAAATCCCTCCAAAACTGCCAAAATCAACAAGCGTTCGACTGGCTTGACAGTTGCTTAACTTGGAGATGCGTAAGCTCCGGCTATTGGCATGCCGGAAGGCCCAAGCTTGAGCAAGTTGTGCCAGGTTTTGCAAGCCACGCATTTGATGTGTTCCTGTCCATTCTGCTATCAGTATGCAGCAATGAATAGCATCAGAATACACTGGAGACAAAATTGCACACAAATGACTGGTTGAATGATGCTGACAGAACCTTGCTGTGCTTACCTTTTCCCCCGAGTACAGTAAGTACTGCAACGTGGATTCCGCTTAGGCAGGGCTAATGTTACGGTTATTGGCCAGCTCGTTGCCTCCCCTTCTCCTGGGATGATTGAGGACACCCACAAAAGTCAGAGTGGAATCGCGTACAGGGTACCAGGACAGGGGGAATTCCATGTTTTTAGGGTCAGGGCAAGCAGCCAAAGGGCCAGAGATGTGGGAACAGGTGGTGCACGGTGCAAAGCACTGGTTAAGCAGGCAATGAGAAGGATGCTGAATTCGACATCACGAGAGCAATTCATTTCTCTAAGAACAGTTTCTTTCTCATGGGCACTTTTGTGGGATACTGTATTGGAATTATTGGATCCTTGAAAATCACAGCAGGCACTGCGAATTGAAACGAACTGGTGACAGGCAGACTCAGTGTTTATGGATTATTCCACCGAACATTTTGAGGCGGGTTGCCCGAACAACTTATTTTGGAGGTTGTCTCCCTCCTAACCACCATCTAGAGGATAGTTTTGAGGATGTCACTTTCTTCGGCCCGGTGTTTGGGAGGAGCCTCGCGAAGAGAATGAAGGCGAGAACGAGGGCAGCGCGCTGCTGCCGAATGCTCCCGAAAGAGGCAGACAGATGTGCCAAGATGTCTTGGACTACTTAGGAATTCGGACATGTCAAATTAACACTAAGACCTGAGGACCTGTATACCCTTCCTTTGTTTTGGTGGGGGTTGCCTTTAAAATCCAGCCACAAAGACGGTGCCCTGACTGAAAAGGGAACCTCTGGTGGGTTCCATGTTAGTTCGTGTCTAGGAGAATGCACCGCAGAGTACAGCATCCAGAGACAGCTGTGATGCCTGCCAGTCCAGTGCTTTCAACTCTTGGAGAAAAGTGTCCCTTAAAAAGCAACCAAGCCAAGAAAGGACCACAATCGACTGGGCTTTTGAGTCATAGAGCTACGGCTTGCGCCTGTGGCACGAACGGACGGAAAAACTGTGGCGATCCGCCCTCAGATTTTGTGAATAATATTTTTCTGCATTTCTTTGGAATGTGCACAGGATTGTAAACCTAGCAATCCCCATTTAGAAGGTTTATAAGCCCATGGATAGCCAAACCATCCCCCAAGCAAACAATGTCAATCCCAGATTAAGGGTTCTTGACCCCCAAGGCGATCCGGATTTCCTTGGGTTCCCGTTTGATCGTTTGGCGGAGTTGTAATCTCACATGAAAGGCATCATTCGCAGACGTCATGCGGCTGTATAAGGAGAACCGAATCAACCCATCATTGGTAGACACTAAACATTTCAAGCAGCAATGCCGGGACTGGCAGCCAAATGGAACAGCATCACCAACATATGAAGCGGTGCCAACGGCTTGACGCCAACAGCAGCGGTTTGATATCAAAACCCTGCTGCACTCGCGGTGGCGTTTGTCGCGACATCATTATCAGTATTGACTATGATATTGATTGCAACAGTCATTTGTCATTTCAACAGCAAGCATAGGCATGTGGCAGCAAACCGGCAATGAATAATTGCCCACTCCTCGTTTGTAGCATTCTCCTTGTGGCTATGACCCCTTGTGCAATTTCAAACAGACAATGAATAATTGCCCAATGTCGCACAAAGCCGAATACGTTGTCATCTTTCTTGCATTCGACTCCTTGACGCGTGCGAACCGTGCGAAGCGCGAACCTTGCTATGCTGCTTTTGAAACTAAGAGCCCTACTTTAACCAAATGGACACGCCCCAACATCAGTTGCTATGGTTGTATATGGGTTACATGGTACACAGGCCGTCCAGGGTACATATCCCAAAACCCATCCTTTTGCGTTGTGTGTGTGTGTGTTTTTTTGTCAGGGCCCCATTTTAGGATGGTTTAAATGGAGACGCAAAGGGAACACCACAATTTATTGTGTTCCCTGTTTTGACGCATAGCGATAACAGTAACTGGCTGGTAGTTCGAAGGGAGCTATGGAGCTGGGGGTATCCGGAGCTAAGGAGCTGCCAGGAATTCTGTAAGGACATGGTAGAATTCATGGTTGGGGGCTGTGCAGTAGGACGGTAGATATGCCAAAGGAGAACCATCGTCGTGGAGTCCTGCAAAGGGGATTTCACAAGGCAACAAGGATCCCTCTTGACAGGGTTGCACCGGGGACCCATGTTTTTTTGCTGGTTTCGGCCCACCCAACCCTGTTTCTGTTGTTGGAAAAGACTCCGAAAACCGGTTTTTTGGTGTAGAGCAAACCACCTACAGGGGGTAGATGTTCCCTGTGGACGTCCTCCGTAGGCGACGAGCCGCCCATCCGCGAGATCGAGGCGCCCAAGACCATGCATGGTCTGGATGCGCCAGGCCGAGAAGGGGGGGGGATTCGTTTGGTTGCGGCAAAAAGCGGGGGACGACCTCCAACCAGAGCTCTCTTCTTCAAGGTCAAAAGAGACAGCGTCAACACTCGGCACCCTTTTACATACTAATATGATGAGCTTAGTTTTCAATTGTCCAGAAAGTTGTGCTGGGTACTCTCCTGAGACTCAAGGAAATGGAAGTTTGGGGCTGCTCCAAAAGGAAAGTTGTCTTCTCCTGAAACTTCTGTCGGCGTCCATGATTCATGATTGTTGGATGGTAGATTGTTGAGGTCATTGTGATGCGTGGTGTAAAGCCCGGAAGATGAAATTTGGGATTTGGTGTTCAATGCATACACGATATTATGTGTTTGTAGCATGTGTGTGAGCATATACATACGTCGATATGTTTCCCTCACCGGGCCCATCTTTTCGTGCTGGCACGCCATATGTTTTTGTTTGGTCCCAGTGCTTGCTTCTGGCATTTGACAAGCTAAGCAGCTAAGTACAGTAGCTTAGCTAAGTGACAAGCTAACTAGGCAACTGGCTAGCTGAACTGACATGTCAGCTGCACAGCTAGCGATCCAAGTGCCTAAGAAACTAAAAGGCTCACTAGCTGCCCAACTAGCCAGATAAGTAGCCAACTCAATCAATATCTTCACCGCCTAAGCTGGAGGTTGGGAGTTTGAGACATACTTCAAAGTCAAAGGCTGACACAAATGCACATCGCGCAGTGAATGGCGAGCTTATCTAGTTCAGTCGCCAGAGAGTCTATCAGTTGGCCAGTTCATAGTTACTTACTCTGTCAGTCGGCAAAGAGGGCTCTTCTTGCAGCCAAGCTTTGTCATGAGTACTCCTCGTTAGTACCCCCCCCCTGTCACACTTCACAAATAGTCTTGGTGAGGGGATTCCTTGGGGATTCAGGAGGAGCATTTATATCAGAGGGATTGCAAATCGGCTTGCGGCATGTTGGTTCTTCGACCTCTTTCTGGAAGTCCTTTGGCATTTTGCGCACCGAGTACACTGAGAAAAAATATTCGAAATGTATTGGCAATACCCTGTAGGATGTCCATTCAAATTTACGCGCACGAGTGCATGGCAACGGGACCTTCCCAAGTTTACAAGTTGGCAGTGCGGCGTGCTTTGACTTTTGACGGCGGGTTATAACAGTAACTAGAGGACGATTGGCCCGAAAGCATTTTTCCCCAAGCGTTTCCCATCATGTGCTTTTCCAGCTGTAACTTGGCTTTGTGCCACTTGGCTCTGTGCCAGTTGGCTCTGCGCCACTTGGCTCTGTGCCACTTGGCTCTGTGTAACTTGGCTCTGTGCCCCTTGGCTCTGTGTAACTTGGCTCTATGTAACTTAGCTCTATGTAACTAGGATCTATGTAACTTGGCTCTATGTAACTTGGCTCTATGTAACTTGGCTCTATGTAACTTGGCTCTATGTAACTTGGCTCTATGTAACTTGGCTCTATGTAACTTGGCTCTGTGCAACTTGGCTCTGCGCAAGTCTGCTCAGCGCAATGTGCTTGGCGCAAGTTTCTCACGAAAGTGGTCTGCGCAAGCTGCATTGTTCCAGGCTGCTGCGCGCAAGTTGCTCTCTGCAAGCTGCTGCGCGCAAATGGCTGGACATCTGTCTTAGACTGTTCGTTGCTCTGCGCAAGTTTCTCGCCGCCAGATGCTCGGCGCTTGTATCTGCGCACAAGATGCTCAGCCTGCGCTGTGCACACACCCGCGCTACGTATGTACTTAAAAGTTACAAATTTCCAGCTGGAGCTGCGGAGGCGCTCCGCGTGCTACTCTTGTACTTAAAGGCTGCGATTTTCCAGCCGGAGCTGCGGGAGCACGCTCCGCGTACTACGTTTGTACTTAGAAGCTGCGATTTTCGAGCCGGAGCTGCCGCGGACCAGGGGGGAATCGAGCCCGCGACTTGCAAAAGCAGGCGCGCAAACCACGAGACAACTTCCAAAGGCCGTTTCGCGAGCAAGAAAATCGCACAGACAGCGAGAGCGCTTCGACATGCACAATCTCCGCAGAGGGTTCGCCGAGACTAAGACAAATTCGCACGGCGCCACAGCGAGAGCGCTTCGACGCGCACGATTTCCGCAGCGCGCGGGCCGCAGAAATCGTAAAAAAAAACCCTCAGTTTTTGAAGCTCGACCATGGGGTCGCGCGCGGCTTGCAGAAATCGTAAAAAGTCGTCAGTTTTTGAAACCTCGATCACGCGAATCTCCGCAGAGTGTCGCGCGCGGCTTGCAGAAATCGTAAAAAGTCCACAGTTTTTGAACCTCGACCACGCGAATCTCCGCAGAGTGTCGCGCGCGGCTTGCAGAAATCGTAAAAAGTCCATTTGAACCTCGACCACGCGAATCTCCGCAGAGGGTCGCGCGCGGCTTGCAGAAATCGTAAAAAGTCCCCAGTTTTTTTACCTCGACCGCGCGAATCTCCGCAGAAGTCGTTAAGAGTCCTCAGTTTTTTACCTCGACCACGCGAATCTTCGCAGAGGGTCGTGCGCGGCTTGCAGAAATCGTAAAAAGTCCACAGTTTTTTAAACATCGACCACGCGGATCTCCGCAGAGCGTCGCAATCCCGAGCGATGATCAAACTCCCGCCCCGGCGCCTTAGAAACCTAAACTAACTTACATGGGTCTGTGTTTTTTTACCGTGTCAGTTCTTTAGTCTTCGTGGGAGGTGGGGCTTGGGCGAGCCATACCCCCGAATCATACCCCGAACCATACCCCCGAGCCATACCCCGAGTCATACCCCTTAAAAAACACCAAAAAACTTGCAAGAACTGTGGCATTTGCATGTGATCCATGGATAGCTGGAAGCTATAGGGGGTTTAACTTCAAGTGAAGAAGGGGGTCTTGTCAAGAAACAGTGTTAGAGAGCGTGACATGTGGACCGATGCCAGGGGGTAGGGACTCCGAGGTAATACCTGGTTCACTTGTGGTTCCTGGATCTATTCTTGAGTCTGCGATGCTTGCATGGTTGGGCTCTGATGTCATGGGGCCAAGTACAGTTGACATGTCCACTCACACACTCACTGGTTACTCGTGAAGGGCCATTTCCTCTCAAGTGGTGTTCCTTGACACTCGGTCTTGGCTTGCTATTTCAATGGAAAGTGCCAATGGATGGAGTTATAGAGCAATCCTGCGGATGTCCTGGTACTAGAGTTGTCTGTAGCATCCGTGGTGCTGTGGCGGAGGGGTGCAGCTTGACGTAAGACGCTAGGACTTGCAGGGCGCTGTGGCGGGGGGTGCCGCTGCTGGGCTTGAAACTTGGAGCCTGGGCCATTGTCGCAGTGAAACACAAGCTGTCTTTGTGCTCCTGGGGTACTCTTGGTGTCTTTCCGGTCGAAAAAAATCTGTCCCGCGATTCATACCCCCGATTCATACCCGATTCATACCCCGATTCATACCCTTCTGCTGCCATTTGCAGCCAAGAGCCTCTTGCGCACTGGGCAGTACTAGCGAAGCTATGCCGCCCGAATCCTCAGAAGACACAAAACTCAAAGAGAAGCGCTGCAGGAACCAGCTCGCGGCTCTTTTCGCAGAAGTTCGCCAGAAGGTGGGTTCGGAAGGCTTACTGCGATGTATCAAGCGCGACACGGTGCACCACCTGTGAGAGGCCCACTAGCCTCTGCGCGGCTGCCGTTTGAGGATGTCATGCTGTCTTGCCCTTACGCTGGTTCGTGACTGGTGCGGGTGGCGGGCCTGCCTGGGCAGCGGCGCTTCCCCTTAAGCAACGCTTGCTTGGGTCTGTGAGCACGCGGGTCGCTTGAACTCCAAGTGGAGGTGGCCATGACGTTCGCCTCAGGCAGTGGCTCTGCGCCTTCCACCTAGCGCAGTAGCTTTCGCTAACCCACTCACGCAGAGTGGCAGCTGTCTAGTTCAGGCCACTCACAAGCGCCCCAGGCTGGCTTGTAGCGGTCCAAATCTCACGGCTATCCAGTTGCCAGCGCACGGGAGCTTTGCAGTGTCGAAAGCCACAAAGCAAGAGTTCAGAGGCGCGCGAGCCATACCCCGAATCATACCCCCGAGCCATACCCCGAACCATACCTGCGATTCATACCCCTTATACCAACCTCCCGGCACGGCCACGTCCAAAAAACACATACCCACATAGCTGCTTACGCCGAAGCTCTACGCAAGCTCTACCTAACCTTGGCTCTGTGCCACTTGGCTCTGTGCCACTTGGCTCTGTGCCACTTGGCTCTGTGCAATTTGGCTCTGTGCCACTTGGCTCTGTGCCACTTGGCTCTGTGCCACTTGGCTCTGTGCAACTTGGCTCTGTGCCACTTGGCTCTGTGCCACTTGGCTCTGTGCCACTTGGCTCTGTGTAACTTGGCTCTGCGCCACTTGGCTCTGTGCCACTTGGCTCTGTGCAACTTGGCTCTGTGCCAGTTGGCTCTGCGCCACTTGGCTCTGTGCCACTTGGCTCTGTGTAACTTGGCTCTGTGCCCCTTGGCTCTGTGTAACTTGGCTCTATGTAACTTAGCTCTATGTAACTCTATGTAACTTGGCTCTATGTAACTTGGCTCTATGTAACTTGGCTCTATGTAACTTGGCTCTATGTAACTTGGCTCTATGTAACTTGGCTCTATGTAACTTGGCTCTATGTAACTTGGCTCTATGTAACTTGGCTCTATGTAACTTGGCTCTATGTAACTTGGCTCTATGTAACTTGGCTCTATGTAACTTGGCTCTATGTAACTTGGCTCTATGTAACTTGGCTCTATGCAACTTGGCTCTGTGTAACTTGTCCAAGGGCTCCGCACGGAAGAGCCCTTCGCGATGCTTTCGGGAAAAATAGTTGTAATGATGGTAGTAGAACATGTGTACACATGGATTCATTTGTGTTTGTTTATATTATTTCTTGTTCTATACAATATATGCCATCCCTCAACAAAGAAGAACGATGGAACACCTAGGTTTTGCCATGGGCCGACTGGCAACTGGCAAGTGGGAGGTATCCCCAGCTCCTCCGTGGTCCTGGCGGAGCGGCTTCTCTCAGCCAAGAGCCCCGGGGAGGCGACGCGGCGAGGGAGTCTCTGGAGCGAATTGTAGCATTTTGGGGTAGGTGCACCACCCATTTTAGTCTATTTTAGTTGGAATTGGGATGTTCATTGGGGGTGCGGGCTTTTGACCCATGGCCATATAGACAGGCCTGCTGCTTCCTTTTGGGGGTGATGTTTAACGGGGGGGATATACGTTTCAGCAGCTGAAGTGGAAACAAGGCTGCATTTATCCCAGTCTTTCGTTTGCGTGTTGGTGGTCTTCTTGCGGTCGTAGGACTATCGCAAGGTTATCCTTGAGCATGTCCGTGCGTTGATTGAGTGTAGTCACAAGATCGAAGCAACTGCCAGGTGCTGTCCCTGGCAAAGCGGGCCTATGAGGCTTTGCAGACAGAGGCGCGGGGGCTTTGTCGGTGCGGCCCCGTGGCCAGATTTGTCTCATTGGTTCCCTTCCGTTTGTTTTGTCATTTGTCTCATTGACCAGCAAAGCAAGTGGGTTGTGCTTCAGGCAGGTCCAGATCCGATGAAGTTCTGTGGTTGGGCGACAAAATCATAAAGTGAAAATTGCTGAAGGTATAATACATAAATAAATATATATATATATATGTGATTGCAGGGTTCGTGTGTGACAAGCCCCGCAGCAGACTGAAGCGCAGGGGTGGTTCATTTGCCCCGCAAGGGGCACCCGTGGGGTAGGTCTAACCGAACTTACAAAAGCATGGAACTCCGTTGCATTGTGCGTGTGTTTGTGTATGTGTTGTGTCTGTGTGTCCGTGGTTGTGTCTCTGTGTGTTTGTGTGTCTGTGGGTCTGCATGTCGATCTGCATGTCTGTATGTCTGTGCTTGCTTTTTTTTCGAGGGTACGGTTGCCTCGATTTAAAGAGAGAAGCCGCCAGCAACAACACCGCTATTGTTGGGATGTCTTTTGACCTCGAAGGATACTGCTGACCCCTTGCTGATATACCTGGGGGATTGCCAGATTTGTAGTCGTGTTGCTTGGCCGTGCGCTGCCGTGTTTGTTTCGTTTGCCTGCGTGACAGCCGAGGAGCCCTTCGGAAACCGCGGGGAAAGAACATATCCACATACCTGGATGGACAAGATGCTGCACCAGTTGGTACGTGACTGATTTCTCCCAGTCTTCATAGGGGTTCATCCATCCTAGCTGGTGAATAATTTTGTCCATCAACGTAATTCACACACGTCAGGGAATTACAAGGGAGGAAAGTTCCCTGCTACTCTTCATTTGCTTAGGTTTAGGCTTTGGCTCGCCCTAGAAAGGTTTCACCCAGTCACCCGCTGTTTGAGGGGATATCACCCCGACTTTTTTCACACCGGGATTTCTTTGCAGCAGGGTTGTGGGACCAAGAGGTTCATCCAACCACTTGATACAAGTTCGGAATCTCCCCCTGAAAGGTTCGTCTTTGGCCAGTGGATTTCAACCACAGCCCTCTGCAACGTTCTGGTTCAGGCGGTTTGTTTTCTTCGCGGAAGCTTCGCCAGGTGAACCCGCAGCAAAGGATGCGGCGGCTGGCGCAGCTGGTAACGTCCCCGGCGTAGGGGGTCGCGCGTCTATTCCATCGAAACGCGGCCGGAAGGGTAAGCATCAACATAGGGGGCTCCAAAAATGTTGGCTTTTCTTATGGTGTCCCACGTTAAACCAAGGTGAGCATGCACCCTTGAAAGACACACATACCCAAGAATGGGCCAGCAGTCAATCCTTTGTCCTTTTCTGTTTGGGGGAGTCCACACTACAAGTAGTCACTTGGATTTATCCTTTTGAGTTGTGGTCAGGTTTGGGTGATTTAACCCGTGAGTCAAATCATGGTTTGAACTTCATGTTGGTTTCCCTTTGAAGTGAGGGATTGCTCAAATGTTGCCCAACCCAGTTGCTTACTGGCTCACTCTGTTTTCTTTTTGGTTCGCCGGTTTGCCACTCAAAAATGCCCCCGAGAAAGAACAAACAAAACAACGCGAAACAAGCACGTTTCTATGTTTTTCTACCTGTTGGATCTCTAGTTGCAATTGGGTGGGGGGGGTCCACGTAAAAGATGAAACTATTGGAGGCGCCAAGGTTCTCCTGTGCGGCAGTCAGTGAGCGTCAAGACAGAGAGCACTTTTCTACGCTCCAGATTAGCCTTGGTTGTTTTTTACGACCTTTAATCGATTTCCAGCTCTCAACTTTCAACTGTAAGCCATGTGTAGAGTCTCCTTTTGCGGTTTCTTGTGGCTTTTTGGGTGCGAAGCAACTGAGCAAGCAGGCTCGGGGATACAGTACCAAGTTTCAATGCAAAAGTCACGGTCTACAACCCCCATGGACTTGGTTTCAGAGCCATCCCCAGGAGTTTTCTGGACAGATGACCGCTCTGGCTAAAGCAGCTTGTCAACTGCAAATCTGCAGAATCTGGTTCGACGCGCTGCAGAATCTGGTTCGACGCGCGCCTCAAGTCTCGGCGAATCGAGGCGCTGGCGCTTCAGCTTCTGGCGCGCCAGGCGCAAGGTGCCCAGAAGGCGCAGGGGCGTGCTTTGGGGAGCGTTTGGGTGGCTGAAACACAGGCTTGCATAGCAACCTCTCCTCAATTGCCTGTTAGTCAGGATGGGACCTTTTGTGGTGTCCCAAAGACCTGTAAAACGACAAGGAGGAAAGAAAAGATAACATGCCCACAATTGAAACACCCCTTGTTTAAAGAGGCCCCTTCTGGTTTGCCCAGGGTGGCTATTCTCAGCCCTGCTTTCTCTGAGGGGGGTTAGGTGACAGAGCAGGGCAAGGGGATCCAATATGGCTGTGGGTCAAACCAATGATTGTAGCATTTTGGGGTATGTGCACCACCCATTTTAGTCCATTTTAGTGGGGATTGGGATGTTCACTGGGGGTACGGGATTTTTGGACCCATGGCCATATGCAGCAATCTGTGTCTGTACTTCTTCTGTTCTTTTCGGGGAGCATGCCCTTTAAGATCAAGTGCTGACAAAAGGCAGCCCCTTTTTTTCCCCATGGCCACTAAGGTCAGGGAAATGGTTTGGTTCCAATATGGGCTGTTCATGTTTCTTTGGGAACGTCGCATGAATGAAGGGAGAGACTTGATTTGCGTGTGGTTCTTTCTTTACAGGCTTCTTTCATCTGCTCGGTGAGAGTGTTGCTCGAACCAGTTCTCGAGCGTTGCGAGCTTTGGTTCCGGGAGGAGCCTGGTGAGGAACAAGAACTGCAGCAAGTTGGTTTTGGGAGGCCGTCGATTTTGCAACTTTTGCAACCAAATGAGCAAGCTGGAGGTTTCCAAGGGTTTCATCGGGGAATTGTTGATTTGTCTACCGCGGTACGACTTTCCCAGGGAAGGATTCACGGCGAACAAGTTCCTTCACTTCAAAGGGCCAGTGGCCTGAGTACATGAGGTCTGTGGTCATTGAACCTTGAGGAGGGGGGCCACTTAGGCTTGAAACTTGTTGAAATACACTGAACGGTGGTACACAACAAGTCTGGAGTTCCTCTCATGATTCAGAAGTAAGCTGAGTCTGGGATTCACCCACAGGCGGAGAGGCACAACCAGCATAAGGTTTCTGGGTGGGACTCTCCCGCCCGGCAAAGTTGACGCGGATATCTGGCCTCTTTATATATATATACATATACATATGTATATCATGAGTCTTGGCCCCCCCCTTCCGGCTTCCGATCTAGCATCACCTTGTGGGCCATTTAAAGTGAGTTAAACCTGTGCAGGCGCCCATCCTGAAGGATCACCGACTGCCACGGCTGATCCAGGCGCTTCAACACAACGTGGAAGGATTGGATGCACCTGGGCAAAAAGGGAAGCTAGCCTGTGAATGCCCATAAAGCTTCCTCTTAGTTCAGATTTGTGAATAGGAAGTTGCCCTGCATTTTCAACCCAGAGGGCAATGTGTGTCTTTTTTTGGAGTTGGCACCGATTGTTTTAGAAAGAAGCGAACGGGGTACCACTCAAAGGGATGCATCAATTGTTGGGAATTTCAACAACGAACCCTTCTGTGGACATCACTTAGGTCGGGATTCATGTGCAACTACTTTGGAGGTGGTTCCCTATTAAAATTTGAGGCCATGTGCCATTTGGGTGTGTCTCAAAGTAGTCAGTAGTCATAGAAACCTGCAGGAAATTCTGCAAATTGGCCAAGGACCCGCCAAAAACTACATTCCTGTAGAATTTCATGCAGCTGGCTGCTTGGGGGATGGTCATGAACCCCTTGATTGGAATTTTAGACCATGAAAAGGACACGTTCCGAATGTTGACCATCAGGGCTTGTCCCTGGTTTTAGTGGGGAAGCAGACCACTTTTGGAGGGGCCCCCACCCCTACCAGCAAACTGGTTGGTGGATGAATATGGGCTCAACATGACTGATTTCTTTTCCAGTGATTTCTTCTCCCTATCAGAGACCAGCTGCGGGGCATTCTTTCTTATCGGCTAAGTAGCCACCAACAAGTCCATTGCTGTCGAGTTTCCTGCAGCCTGCTTATCCCTTTGCTTGGCGCATGGTCATGAACTCCTAGATATCGGAATGCTAGACCATGAAAAGGACAGGTTCCCTAGTGATTTCTCTGGGCCCATTAAAAAACCATTGTCAAAGTCACCCCCTGAGTGTTAGAATAAAGGGACAGAACCCCAATGTCTGACTTTGACAACTACCCAAAAAGTTGGCCAAACAACCAGCTGCAGGACACCAGTACCCACCAAATTGAATTGGCCAACTTCCCGATTGATTTCTTGGGCCAAACGCGGCTTGCGCCGCGCCCTCGGACAGCTTGAGGACTGGATCCTGGCCGCAGGCTTCTGTGGCCTCGCGCGCCTGGGCACTCTCAGCCTCAGAGCCGCACAGAACGCCGTGGCTCGGCGGAGCGGGA